AAAGCATAACCAGCCTCAACATGGAGACGCCACCGCAGATGTGCAGACACGTCACCAAAGAGCACGCACAGAGGCGCACAAGCGCCTGGACCGGCGCCCGACACATCAGCCAGGAGAAGCGTGCAAGCTGAGACCGCAGTGAGGTGTCGCTGCGCCCCGGTCAGGTCGGCCCCAGCAAAAGCACTGATCCCGCCCGGCCGGTGCGGCTCAGCGGGCTGCGCGCCGGCCTGCGAACCAAAGAGTCTCTGGTTCAATCCCCAGTCGGGGCACAGGCCTGGGCTGCAGGCCGGGTCCCTGGTCGGGGGCGTGCGAGAGGCAACCGATCGATGTATGTCTCACACATTGATGTTTCTCTCCCTCTCTTTCTAACCTCTCTTCCCCTCCGTCTTAAAGTAAATAAATAAAACCTGCGAAAAATCAGAGAATTGCAAAACACGAGGCCAGGCCAGTACATGTGAAGGAGGGAAATTCCTTGAAAAATACAGAACTAACTCCAGCAGGACCAGAAGCCCCACCTAACACTGTCACCACGGGAGGGGTGGACACGTGGCGCACCCGCCCAGCACCCGCCCAGGCACCCGCCCAGGCACCCGCCCAGGCACGCCGCCCCATCTTGATTCCGGGAACGCAAATCCTCTGCAGGCTCCTCGGAGGACAATTTAGGAGCTTGAATTCAAACCCCAAGTGGGGGTTTACTAGAAAGGAAAAGTAGAGTTTCACCCCATTCCAGCAACAGGCAAAGTGAGCAGTCTGTCCAGTGCGGGTTAATCCCGAGGCAAGATTAGTTCGACATTTTAAAATGTGTTGTAATCCACGACGTGAGCAGATTAAATGAGAAAATATGGGTGCGAGGGCTGCAGAAAAAAGCGTTCGACTATACTCAGTGTTAACTCACGATTGTTTCTAAGAAATTGTTGGAAGCTAAGACTTTACCAAAAAGCCCTTGGCAAACATTAGGGTTAACAGTGAAATGTTGAAAGCATTCTCTTTTTCGATCTGGAAGAAAATAGTAATGCCTGTTATGGGCAACGTTATTCAAAATTTTACCGACAAAGTATTAGAATTATTAAGAGTTTAACAGGGTTCTGAGTACAAAATGAATATGAAAAAGTCCACCTGATTTCTATAAACCAGTGAAGTCCTTAGCAAATGTAATTTAAAGCTGTAAAACAGTTATGTATGTACCAAGCACTAAATCTAAGAAAAACATGTGAGAACTTCCGGGAGAAAATTACTTAAAGCTTTTTTGAAAGACCTACAAGAGAGCCTAAGCAGACAGAGGAGCAAATCTTGGTTTCAGATAAAAGACCCGGGGTTTGAAAGAGGCTCACTTTCCCCAGCGGGTGCGGGGACTCGACGCAGTTGCAGCTCAAGTCACAGCAGAGCTGCTCGAGGACTCTGGGCCAGTCGTTCCGACACGTCCGGGAGGCCGCGGGCCCCAGGACAAGACATGGGGCGGGGCACCCCGCTCCCCAGGGAGAGCGGCCAGGGCTGCTGGAGAGCTACACCGGCCGTGACCTCAGGGCCGCCCAGCACCCACGTGACGCGGTGCTGGGACAGCTTGTTCCTCAGACCGGAAGACAGGACCTGGAAGCCTTCCCGCACGTTCCGCAGAAAGCCCCGTCCGGGGAGCCGAGCACTTGCCATCAGCAAGGAGACCCGAAGGGGCAAAGGAAAGGGCCGGAAACTGGCCCACGCGGGCCCATACGAGCGCCCGTGACCGCACGGTCCGAGGACTGATATCCGGGTGCTGTCGCCCAGAACAGCGCGGGGTCGGGACGCTGCCCCCCAGCACAGCCAAAGCCCACAAGGAACTCTGGCTCCCCCAAAACGTGACTGGCTCCCCCAAAACAAGAGCCACCGGTCGGCCCAGAGTCCGCCCAATAACACAGACAGGCAACTAACGTGTATTTTGTATGTCATATTAGATACTGTATTCTTACAAGAACGTAACCTGGAGAAAAGACGGTGCTATTTGGAAAATCGTAACGATGAGAGCCCAGCCCCGGCCGGTGTGGCTCAGTGGATTGACCGCCGCCTGAGAACCAAAGGGTCGCCAGTTCGATTCCCAGTCAGGGCACAGGCCTGGGTTGCAGGCCAGGTCCCCAGCGGGGGGCGCGCGAGAGGCAACCACACGTGGATGTTTCTCTCCCTCTCTTTCCGCCTCCCCTCCCCTCCCCTAAATGAGTGCACGGTTTTAAGAGTAAAATTTGAAAAAATATCATAATGAGGAGAAAACACATTTATACTATTCATCGAAACACCCTGCTCGTGAGTGGCCCGCACGGTGCAGGCCTGCGCCGCCGGAGGTCAGCTGTGCAGCGAAAGCGGACGGAGGATGGGGACGATGCTTCACGGCCGGAGGGAAGCGCTCCCACCAGAGGGCAGTCGGCCCGCGGCGCTCGGCGCAGCCCCGCGGCCACCGCAGACACGGCCGGACGGGCCGTGAGGGCAGCAGCCGGCCCGGGGCGGCCGTCTCCCCGGGAGCCACCACGGTTCGGGCCGTGGGGAAACAGCACAGCGTTCCCCACAGATGCACCGACGGGGGGAGGCGGTCGAGCAGGCCAGGAAGTGACGCGGAGCGCAAGGGCGCGGCCACCTCCCACCTGGTCAGGGCCACCGCGGCCTCTGACCTGCTCCCCACGGTCACCGTCGCCTGCTCTGTTGCGAGTCGGCAACACCTGGCAGGCAGCTCGGGGTCGGGGGGCCCTCCTGGAAGGCAGCCCCTGAGAAGTGTGCCCCCCCGAGGACACGGGGTGCACGGGCCTCCCCGGCGGGGCCCACAGCGCGGCGCCCACCTGCGCCCTGGTCGCTGGGCCTGCGGGCCAGGCCACAGGGGAGCTCAGCGAGCCTTCGTCGGACGGCCGTGCGCCTTCACCGGGTAGGGCGTTTCAGCCACCAGACATCGTGGTTTCCGATGGGGAGACCGAGGCAGCGGCTGCCACGACTGCAGCGGACGTCCCCGCCCCGCGTGGGAGGTCTGGCTCCTGGCGGGGCTCCAGGTCCTCCTGCCCAGGGCCCTCCCAGGCCTCCCTATGGCGCAGTCCAGGCGGGGCCGGCCGAGTCCCAGCAGCACCGCACCTGGAGGCTCGCCCTCGCTGGGGCCCCGCGGCCCGGGGCTGCCCCGCCGGGGCTCCTGCCAAGGCCGGCCTCCCACTTGCACGCCCCCCACCCCGCTCCCGGCCCCTAGGTCCTGCACCAGGAAGGGGCTTTCCAGGGCCGGTTCCCTGGGGGAGAGCTCACTCCCGGCCTCCGCCCCAGCCCAGCTGTTCCCTTTTCCCCGCCTCCTTCCCTTCTTTTCCCGGGCTCCTCTGGGCCCTGGGCCACAAGCCAAGCTGGCTCCCCAAAGGCGGGGTCCAAGCCCCATCCTCTCAGGCGGATGGGACGCCACCCAAGAGCAGCTCGGGACATCAGGGAGCCCTGCTTGGGCCTGGCGGGACGCGGCGGGGGTCCTGGGGGGGGCCAGCCTGCCTTCCTTGCCCTTTTGTGGGCCGCCGGGCCACTGTGGGCTGCCTTTGTCTCTTCTTTTCAGCCTCCTCTGCGCTTTCTGGGGTGGAAGAAAGGCCTGGGGGAGGGGGCTCGAGGGCTGCTGGGAAGCCGCCTGCGGGCTCCACCCAGTCACGCTCTGCTGGGGCCGCGCCTGGCGGGGCTCTCACAAGGCTGAGCCAGTTCCCGGGGTTCCCACCCTTCCTGTCGGGGTCCTGAGGTCCCAAGCTGAAAGGAAGTCTCTCTTGATGGGCCGGTCACACCAGCCCCTCGCCTGGGCAGAGATCCCAGCGCAATTGTCCCTGCAGGTTCCAAAGACCAGGGTGTTGCCCAGCCTCGGCCCCCAGTCAAGTGCTGCCCTCCTGGCCCCGCCTCCCCACCCCCCACCCCGGCCGCTGGCACTCGGGTGGTCCTGCCACAGGGCTTCTGTTTGGCTGGTTCTTGGTGCTGGAATTCCCATTCCACAGAGTGCAGAAGGGGGTGGCCGCTGGCCAGAGGAAGGGGTAACGCTTGGCTGGGCTGGCGCGCAGGGCGCGGGGCGGGGGGCACAGCACGGGGGCAGGCGTCGTGTGGGGTGGGAGGGCAGAGCTGGCTCTGGGGTGCGCTGTTGCCCACCCCGCCAGCGTCCAGGGACATGCGTGCCGGCGGGCCCGGCCGGGAGCCCACTCCCCCCTGTCTGGGACGAGGCCCCCCACGCGGGGCCAGGGACTCTCCTCCTGCCCCTTCCGCGAGAAGCCTCTGGCCTCCCCTGTCCAGGCTTCTGGACCCCACGCCCAGGCAAAGGAGGCAGCAGGGGGTCCCAGGCCCTGAGCCGGGAGGCCACTTGTTTCTGAACTTGGAGTGACTGCAGCCATCCTGCACCTCTCTGCCTGTGTCCTCACCGTCACCTTGGCACTGGGACCTGCATGCGTGACCTAGGTCTGGCCTCATGCTGCTGGGCTGCTCGGCTTTGACCTCCCAGCGCCCCACGGTCAAGCCCAGCCTGGGTCAGCGCGGGGTCCTGGGAACCTGACCAGCAAGGCGCAGCGCCACACCCTGGGGCTGGGTCGGTGCTGCAGGCCGGCTGGCCCTGTCTTAGGGGGAAGGCATGGCAGGGACCCGTTTGCTCCGGAGCCAGCCCAGCCCACCCCTGCGCCAGGCCGCAGGCCCGAAGCCACCGGGATGGGGCGCCCTCTCGGTCCTGCCCCAGTGGAACCAGCCGTGTCCACGGGCAGGCAGACACCGGCAGGCCAGCCCTCGGGGTCGGCGGGCGAGCCGGCGGACAGGGGTCTTCTGGGCGAGGGGTAAGTGGACAGGAAGGAGGCTGGGCCACAACCTCCGGGCACGCGGGTTGCGACCTGGGCGCGAGGAAGGCAGAGTGACTCACCTGCACTAGGAGGAGTGCGCTCTGGGAGGGCGGTGGGCGTGTCGGCCGCGCGTGGGCGGGGCGAAGCGCGGCTGGTGCGGGTCTCCGCCCCGCCCCGGGTGCCTACCCCGCGGCCCCCGGCCCCCGGACCTCGGCCTCCCGGCTCCCCGCCGCCCCTCCGACACCGCCTGCTCCGTCCGCCACCCGCCCATGGCCGGGAAGGCGCTGTCACTGCTGCCGCCGTTGCTGCTGGCCGCCGCGGGCCTCTGCGGCCTCCTGCTGCTGTGCGTCCCTACTCGCGATGTCCGGGATCCGCCCGCCCTCAAGGTGCCTGCTAGGACGCGGGGCTCCCGGCGGGGCGCGGGGCGAGGCGGAGCCCGCGCAGGGCCGGGCAGCGCCCGCGTGGCGGCCCGCGCTCCGCTCCCGACCAGCGGGGTGGAATCCCGGCCCCGCGCGCTCGTCCCCCGGCCGGGGTCCGCAGGACCGCGGCGGCGCTTCCGGAGAGACGCGATGCGGGAAGCTGAAGTCCCGGCTCGCCGAACCTCCGCGGAGCCTGTCATGGGCGGGGCTGAGGAGCCGTCTCTCTGCGCCCCGGATGAGCCCCAGGCCTCAGCTGGACCCAGGCAGCCCACGGGGGTGCATTGGTTTGGCATTGAACCCAGACAGAGTGCGAGGCTCCCGGGGCCTTAGGGAACCCTCCTCACCTCCCGAGTAGTCCCGACAGTGCGGCAGCTGCCCTTGAGGGGGGCCTGCCGGTGAGGGGGGTCAGAAGCGGCCGGCCCTGAAAGGGTTGGGGTGAGCTAGGCCAGGCCCAGCCTCCGAGCCCAGCCGTCTCCCATAGTGCCTTTTTGGACTTGTGGGGGTGGGGGAAAGCTTGGCGTGTGTGCATGTGTGTGCATGTGTGTGCACGTGCGTGCGTGGAGCGCAAGCCCCAGGAGCCTGGGTGGCCACGGCCCGGGCGGATGCTCTGCAGCCGAGAGCCAGCCCCCCGGGGGAGCTGGGGGGTGGGCTGGGCAGATGCCGGCTGGCGTTCCCGGTGGGGGCGTGCCCCCTTCCCCAGGAGGGTGTGCTCCCCAGCCCAGCCCTGCCTGCTGGAATCCAGGCCCTTGGGGACAGGTTCCGGGAGGTGGCAGGTGCCAGCAGGGTGCTGAAGCCACCCCACGGGCCCGAAAGGCTCGGCTCGCATCCCCGCCCCGGGGCCTGCAGGCCTCGCTCTCCGGGCCCCTGGCTTCACGGCCCCGGGCAGCGTGCCTCCGGGCAGGGCCGGCCTGCGCGGGGCCCCTCCCAGCCTTCGCCCTGGGGCCCTGGCGTCCCCATCCTCCGGGTGGGCTGGGAACCGAGAGGTGGGGGTGGGGAGGGAGGAAGAGCTGGCCCCGAAGGCTCCTGCAGCAGCGCTTCCCCCGGAGCCTGGGGACCCCGTGTCCCTGGACAGGACTCCAGAGGCGGTCCCGGGACCCTCTGACCCTGCCGCAGCAGCCCCGCTGGTCCTCGCCCGGGTGGGGCCTGCCCTCCCCGGGGAGGAGGCTGTGGGCCCCGTGCTCGCCCGGCCGACCTGTGTCGCCGTGGCTGTCCCTGGCCTTCTCCGACCCTCGGACCTTCCAACCTCGACACAGGTGGGGAGGGGTGGAAAGCAGGGGCACAGGGCACGGCCTTCAGGCCCCTGCACCCCCGAGGGTGACCCCCACACCCCTGCCCTCAGTACGGCATCGTCCTGGACGCCGGCTCCTCCCACACGTCCATGTTCATCTACAAGTGGCCTGCGGACAAAGAGAACGACACCGGCATCGTGGAGCAGCACAGCTCCTGCGGCGTGCGCGGTGAGCACCCCCACGCACTCGGCGCACCCGGCCTGGACACCCACTCCCTGCGGGGCCGCGGGGGCGCCCTCTGGCCTTAGCCTCCGAAGCCGGGCTCCTCGGCTTCCTGCGGGGCGGGCCCTGGGCCTCCTGGGAGCGGCAGGCGCTTCCACTCCAACAGGGGGGCCCCGGAGAGCGGGCGGAAGGTTTGAGTCCTGCCCGGCCCAGGACCGGCCGTTACATGCCAGACAGAGCAAAAGGGGCTGCGGGGAGCTGGTGGGCGCCCCTGGCAGGCCTCGCGGGGGGCCAGGCCCAGCGACAGTGCCCGCAGCTTTGTCCTGGCACCTGTGCACACACCCGCCGCTCAGGCGGCAGCCTCAGAGGCTGGGTGGTGCCTGGGCGGGCCCCTTTGTCGGTGGACGTCTCTGAAGGCTTCAGCCGGAAAGGTGGGCTTAAGCCGCCAGCAGGTGCGGGAGCCCTGGGAGCCAAGCCCCCGCTGTGTTGGCCGACGCCCGCCCTGGGGCCGGGCGCCCGGCTCAGCTCCTCTCTGCCTCCCTCCAGGGGGGGGCATTTCCAGCTACGCCGACAGCCCCTCCGGGGCTGGCCAGAGTCTGGTCGAATGCCTGGACCAGGCGCTCCGGGAGGTGCCCAAGGAGAGGCACGCGGGCACACCCCTCTACCTGGGAGCCACGGCGGGCATGCGCCTGCTCAAGTGAGTGTGCCCGCGCCCCGGCCCTCCTGGCCCTGGGTCCCCCACGGCAGCCTCGGCACGGGGTGGGCCCCGCGCGTCCTCGGCGGCAGCCCTCGGCCGGGACCCTCTCAGCTGGCTGGGCAGACCCCATGCCCCCCAACAGCAGGACCACAGCCCCCCAGGGAAAAGACCTCTCAGAGACACCCCTCCCCCCGTCGCAGCCTGACCAGTCCAGAGGCCTCGACCAAGGTGCTCGCGGCCGTGACGCAGACGCTGACCCAGTACCCCTTTGACTTCCGTGGCGCCCGCATCCTCTCTGGCCAGGATGAGGGGGTGTTTGGCTGGGTGACCGCCAACTACCTGCTGGAGAACTTCATCAAGGTGGGCCTGCTGGCCAGCGCAGCGAGCTGGGGGTGTGCGCTCCCCACTGGCTGACCCGGCCCTCACCCCTCGCAGTACGGCTGGGCAGGCCGGTGGTACCGGCCGAGGAAGGGGACGCTGGGGGCCATGGACCTGGGCGGCGCCTCCACGCAGATCACCTTTGAGACGGCCAGCCCGGCCGAGGATCCGGCCGACGAGGTCCAGCTGCGGCTCTACGGCCAGCAGTACCGCGTCTACACCCACAGCTTCCTCTGCTACGGCCGCGACCAGGTCCTCCTCAGGCTGCTGGCCAGTGTGCTCCAGGTGCCCACCAGCTCCCGCGCACTTGCACTGCCGTCCCCTGCTGGGGGCAGGGGGTGGGGGCCAAGGGCGCAGCCCGGTCAGCAGCCATCCCGAGGAGGGGGCTTCTCCAGGCAGCCGGAGCCGATGGGCTTCGATCCGCTGGGGGGGCACGGCGGGGGGAGGGGTCTGGCGTGGGCCTGGTGGGTGCCAGGCCGGGGGTGTGGTGTTTGTCCATCCACACTGGGGAGCCGGGGTCGCTCCTGAGCCCAGAAGCGGTGCCATCGCGTGCGACGTGGGGAGATCATCAGGCTGGTCCTCGGGGAGGCCCTCTGGGGTCCTGGGTGGGCAGCGCCTGAGGGGGTGCGACCCACACCCTCGTCGCCCCCAGACCCACAGCTCCCACCCCTGCTGGCCTCAAGGCTACTCCAGAGAAGTGCTGCTCCAGGACGTGTACGGGTCGCCCTGCACCGCGGCCCAGCGGCCCCCGGGCTTCAACAGCAGCGGCAGGGTCAGCCTGGCAGGGACTGGCAGCCCTGCCCTCTGCCGCGGCCTCGTCGCCGGGCTCTTCAACATCTCTTCCTGCCCCTTCTCCCGATGCTCCTTCAACGGCGTCTTCCAGCCCCCCCTGGCGGGGGACTTTATCGTGAGTCCGGGGACAGGGGTGGGGGGCCGACGGCCTGCGGAGCCCTCGGTCTGGGCTCAGTGCGACGGGGTCCCTCGCAGGCCTTCTCCGCCTTCTTCTACACCGTGGACTTCCTGAGGACGGCGATGCGGCTGCCCGTGGCCACCCCGCAGCAGCTGGAGGCCGCTGTGGTCGCCGTCTGCAACCAGACGTGGAGCGAGGTGAGGCCTGCGCCCCTCCTCCGGGGCTCGCGGGAGGGCTCAGCCGGCCGCTCGGCGTCCCCCACGGTCACTGCTTGGAGAGTGGGGGGCTCAGCCTCTCAGAGGGCGCAGTGCGGGGAGGAGACACCGCTGCTCCAGCTCGGAAAGTGGCCGGGCCACGGCAGGGCGGCCGGTGGCCGCTGCGGCTTCCCCCTGGAACCGAGACCTAGGGGCAGCAGGAAGAGCCAGCCCGCGGCCTGCGTGGCCAGGGGAGCGGGATGCAGGAGTAGGACCCAGGGGAGACTTCACAGGTGGAATCGGCAGGGCTCAGGTGAGCAGTGGGAGCTGAAGACGCCTCCTGGATTCTGGCTTCTGCCACTGGCCAGACACAGGTGCCCGGCAAAGGCTCCCGGGGAGGTCAGGGCCTGTGAAGCACAAGGTGCCCACCGGGGACTCTGGAAAGAACACTTGAGTGTCTGGGGGCTCAGTGGTGGAGGAGGCTCTTGTCCCCTCTGTGTCTGGTGGCAGGCAGACTGGGGAGAGTAGGGGGCGGGGTGAGGAAAGGGTGGCTGGGCTGCGGCTCAAGCCTGGAGCTTCCCCTGTTCCCCTAGCCGCATGCAGAGCTTGCGGCAGCCCTCTGCTCCCTGGTGGCCATCCGTGCCGTCCCCTCCTCGTCTGCCTCCCAAGCACGGGTGCTCCCAGCCACCCCGAAGTCACACTTTTCGTCCTCGAGGAGGCCTGCCTGGTTGGTGGCCCCTCCGCCTCTTTCTACGCCGCATCGCCATGTGTGCGCGCGTGCGCACGTGTGTGGTGCAGCTCATGGCTGGCCACCCACCTGGTAGGGCCGCGACCTCCCGGTAGCTGGGGGGCCTAACATCGCCCCACCTGCGTCCCAGCTGCAGGCTCGGGCGCCGGGAGAAGGGGCGCACCTGCCCAGCTACTGCGCCGGGGCCATGTTCGTGCAGCAGCTCCTGAGCAGGGGCTACGGCTTCGACGAGCGCGCCTTCAGTCGCCTGACCTTTGAGAAGAAGGTGGGCGCTGGCTGGAGGGCGGGGCCTGCGCGGCGCTGGGGAGCGGGGCGGGGCCTCCAGGGCTGCGCGGAGGCTGAGTCCGCGCCCCTCCTCCGCAGGCCGGGGACACCGCGGTGGGCTGGGCGCTCGGCTACATGCTGAACCTGACCAACATGATCCCCGCCGACCCGCCGAAGCTGCGCAAGGGCACCGACTTCAACTCCTGGGTGGTCCTCCTCCTGCTCTTCGCCGCCTTGCTCCTGGCCGCGCTGGCCCTGCTCGTGCGCCAGGCGCGGCCCGCCAAGTCGCCGAGCGCCATCTAGGGACTGGCTGGGGGCGCACCCCTCAGCCCACCGCCCTCCACCTCTCGGCCGCTGATGCAGCCCGGAGCCCGAGACGGGGGCTGTAGCACGCACTCCCACGGGGGCCGGGGTTGGGGGCGAAAGGAACCGGACACAGCCCCTTCAGCCCGTCCAGCCTTTCCCGGTCTCGAGGCCTCGCGCCCCTTCTGCAGTGGGTGGGTCGGGTAGCATCCCATCTCCCTCCGCCTGTTACTACAAGATGGGTCTCCGGGAAGTGGAGCTCTTATTGATAATCAGAGTCCTCCGAGACACCCCAACTCGGGTCTGTGTTAGGGGGAGGGTCACAGCCAATAGGCTGCGGGCCAGCCCAGGGTCTACTTGTAAGACTTTGTAATAAAACCTTTGTCCTGGAGCCGTGGAGAGATGGCCGCCGCTCACCCGCCCTGCACACAGGCACGCCCCCTCCCGGCGCTCAGGGCGGGCCCCCGCCGCTCCAGCCTCCTCTCCCGACCCAGCCCTGGGGCGGTGCTGACCACGGCCCTCGCGCCACCGCCTTGGCCCACAGTAGCTGCTGGGTGGCGGGCAGGGGAGTCCCCGAGCCCCCGAGCCTTATATGGCCACCAGAGCCCCTGCAGCGCCCACAGCTCTGGTCAGTGGCCTAGGCCGGTTGGGCGGCTGGGCCCTTGTGGAGAGTGGGCCTGGGGGCGGGGGAGGGGCAGCGGAGATGCAGAGGGTAGGTCGTGGGCAAGCACGTGCACGGGGCTCTCGAAGAGCCAGGGAAGGGACAAAGCCTCTACAGGCGGCGACGCGCTGCGACGCTGAGACTGGGGCCAGGAGGGACGCGGGCTCCACCTCTGGGAGGTGTGGGCCTTGCGGAGAGCCTGGCCCTAGCGCCTCTCCAGGGCCCGGGGCGACAAACCGCTCACCCCTACCTTGGTGCGTTTCCAAGCCCCCGAGAGACATCAGGCGGCCCCCCTCCCACCCCAAGCCTTGCTTTCTCCTGCGAGGCGGCCGTGCGAAGGCGTGGCCTCGGCTGCATCTCCCGCCTGCGCCGACCTTTCTGGGAAGTGAGCTCTGATACTTTCTCTGGTCAATGCTATGGGGGGGGGCACCCTTGTTTTTCTCCCCACCATCCGCACCCCGCTGCTTCTGCAAGCGTGTGAGTCACTTCACAAACCTGAGGGCAGCCGGCACCGCCACCCCCTTCCCGTCTGAGTTCAGAGGGAAAAGGCCCGAGAGGGAGGGCCGGGCTGGGGGGCTCATGCTCATTCGGTGGCTTGAGCGGGAGAGCGGTTTCCCGGTGAGCCAGGTGATCGCGCTCTCAGGACTCAACGAGCCGAGCGTAAGCAGGGGCGTCCCAGCTGCTTTGTCTTCCTGGGGCCCCAGGGAACTGAAAAGCGGTCTGTCGCCCGGGGACCGTGGACAGCTCCCAACTCTCAGCTCCCAGCGGACTCGCGTCAGCAGCTCCAGACCGCTCTTGCCCCCTGGTGGCTTCACGTGAGAGTAGCCGCCCCATTCCAACCCTAGGGGCCAGCGACACTGGCCTAGTTCTCCGTGTGTTTGCTTGTAGCCGGGTCTCTGAGTGCCCGGTGCGTCTTGGGCGCACACCTGTCCACCCTGTGCGCGCCTGGCGTCCCTGTGTTCCCAGGGCTGCGCCGCCAGACCTGGTTAGGTCTCCTGCTCCGGCGCGTGGGGGTGGGGTGGAAGTTGGCAACCCCACTAGGACGGGGAGGGCGGAAGAAGAGCATCCGGGGAAGCCCACCCTCGGCCAGCCCCTAGCCGTATCTGCGCAGAACACAGGTCTTCGGCTGCAGAGGCCGCGGAGGTTGAGGCGCCGTGAGACCCGGAGAGCAGGGGGTCGGTCCGAACTGGAGAGGGGGAGGGGCTCGGGCTGGAGGCGCAGTCCCGCCCCCTCATGTGGAGCGCGCAGGCGCACTCCCGGCGCGTTGCCTCCTGTCGCCGCGCCTGCATCCCGGATCCTTTGCCGCAGCGTCAACACCGTCGCCAACGCCTCTTTTCCTTCTCCTCCTCCTCCTCCTCCTCCTCCTCCTCTTTCTCCTCCTCGGCCTCCACCTCCTCTTTCTCCTCCGCTCCCTCCTCCTCCGTCTCAGCCGACGCGGCGCACAGAGCCCGAGCCCAGCCCCGGGCCGCGCGGTGCCATGCTGCCCCGGCGGCGGCGCTGAAGGATGGCGACGCCCGTCCCCCCGCCCTCCCCGCGGCACCTGCGGCTGTTGCGGCTGCTGCTCTCCGGCCTAGTCCTCGGCGTCGCCCTGCGCGGTGCCTCCGCCGGCCGCCCGGGTGAGCGACAGCGCTCGGCGCAGGTCGCAGGGCGGCCCGGGGCTGGGTGCGCAGGGTGGGGGGTCCTGCCGCGCGACGCTACCCCCCTCGACTGGGCCCGCAGGCCCCGCAGGCCAGGCCTGCTGGCAGCTGTGCCGGCCCCGCCTCGCACGGGATGGGGTAAACAGGACCAGGCCCTGAAGGGCGCCGCTGGTGGGGGCTCCTGCCGGGCTCCTGGTGGTGAACCCAAAGTTCACGCGCTTCTGGGCTTTGTCTCTGCGTCCGTGAGCCTGTCTGTGTCTGTGTCTGTGTCTCGGGAGGGCTCCGCGCGTGGGCCTGCTGCCGGCAGTCCGTCTGTGTGCGTTTCTGCGATGCGCTGCGGGGGCCTGGCCTTGGGGGCCTTGCTACCCGTGTCTGTCCTGGGTCTGCGTGCCAGTGCTGATCGGCCCGTCCCCATGCCTCGGCCGGTGTTGGACATGTCCCTTGCTTTGCTGCCATGGTCGGGGCCTGAAGGTTCCTAGGGTGTTTGACAGCTCGTCCCAGGCTTAGGGTCTTGTTTACTGCCTGCAGCGGGGACAGGGGCAGCGTCCAGGCTCAGGCGTTCTCCTTTGCCCTGTGCGATGGAGGACCCCGCCGCCCTTCTGTCTCCTGTGCTAGGGGCCGAGGGCGCCGCCCAGGGTAGACTGCGGTGAGCCCCCCAGTCCTGGGAGACCCTCCCTGCTTGCCAGGGAGGCACGAAGGTTCCAGGTGGTGCAGGTCTGCAGGGCCCTGGAGCCCCAGGGGCTGAGCTGGGACACCCTGTGCCCACGCACACACTCGGTTTTCCTGGCAGCCCCAGAGGGAGGTGCTGTTTTTAGGCCACTTTACAGATGAGGAAACCAAGGCACTGAGGAGCTAAGCAACTGGTGCGCTGAGCTGGGTCGCAGGCTCGTCTGCATGTGGCCTCCAGGCCGGAGCAAGGCAGGCTTCCTCCCGGGCGCCGGCCTCCTGCGGCTGGCCCGGCACTGGCCGCCCGCTGAGAGCCTGGCGCCAGGCCCGTTGGGTGGGGCCTTCGCAGAGAGGGGCCATAGCCACCGCGCTGAGCCCCAGGGTGGGCCGATGCTGTGCCAGCTGCTCTTGGGCCTTATGCTCTCCCAGGTGTGGGGGGTGCCGGCCACTCTCCAGCTACCGTTGTCCCCGGAGCCTCCTCCTGCACCCTGAGGCTGCAGCGGGGACTTTTCCAGGACTCAGCAGGCAGCAGGCAGCCACAGCCTCCTGGGCACGGGGGCTGGGAGTGGAGGCCCCTGGAAACCAGGCTCTGGAGCCGGCTTTGCACCTCAGGCCCCTGCCCCTGACCTGGTGCGCTCTGGGTTCACAGCATCAGGGCAGGCGGTGCCTGGCTCCCCAGGCGCCCAGCCGGTGGGTGCGGTCCCGACAGACCTGCTGGCACGGGCTTAATGTTTAACTGGCCCGCACCCCGGGCCTGGCTCTCCGAGACTGGCGTCTGCTGGCCCGGGGCAGCTCAGGAAAGCGACCGCAGAACTTCCCAGAGGGGACGCCTGCAGCCAGACGCGGTGTGTGCCCGGTCACCGCAGAAGCCCAGCCAGACCCCTCAGGGGGTAGAGGAGGACAGGGCCGGGCATTCCCTGATGCCCCCGACTCATCCTGGGCCCCCCACGACCCTCCCGCAGCATGAGGGCCTTGGCTGAGGGGGCCGGGGCCTCCGGAGGCACCGCTCCCCGGGCCTCGCCCAGCAGGGTTGGCGTCCCAAGGGGTGTCCGCTGGCTCTCTGACTCTGCTGTCCAGCAGTCGGGGCCAGTGTCCCGGCGCTCAGGACGCTCCTCAGCTCGGAGGCAGTTCGCCTTCTGCATCAGAGAGGCAACTGAGGCAGAGAGGAACACTGCCCTCTACCCCAGCATCAGGACAGGCTCCGTTGGCTGCGTGTGGGGGACACTGGTCTGGGCCCCAGGACACAGGAGCGGGGCCTGGCCAAAGTCCCAGGTGCCCCTGTGTCCAAAGCGAGGGAGACTGGCCGACTCCGGCCCGGACCGCCCCGGCCCCCACAGCCCTGTGCCCTGGGGACAGGCCGCAGGCTGGACAGGCGGGGAGGGGGCGCCTCCCAGGCTGGGGGCTTGTTCTCTCCGGGCTCGGGGCTCCGCACCCTGGGTCTGGAGGGCGGCACGACGGGGGGCGGGGAGAGGGGGGCAGCGTCCTTTGCTGCCCCTGAGCCAGAGAGGGGAGACCCGAGCCCCGTCCCGGGCTTCCCGTGCGGGCAGACCCAGGCGGGAAGTGGAGGGCCGTCCGGACAGCGAGGGCCAGCTTCCCGCCGAGGGTGGGCGCAGGCCGGGAAGCGGACTCTGGGGAGCGGGTGGGGCAGGGAGTTCTGATAAGCCTTAGCACTGTTTGTCTTCCTGGTTCCGATCCCGGCGGGGGTGGGGCGGGGGGAGGAAGGGCCTGCCCTGACAACGTCGGATGTCCGGAGCCGATGTCCGGAGCCAGGCCCGGCCAGCTCTGTGGGGTGGGGGAGGGGTACCGGGGGCAGGGCTGCCTCTGTGCGGGGCTGTGACCTCAGCCTGCCTCTACTTCCTTCCCAGATGCCGCCGCCTGTCCCGGGAGCCTGGACTGTGCCCTGCAGAGGCGGGCACGGTGCCCCCCGGGCGCGCACGTCTGCGGGCCCTGCCTCCAGCCCTTCCGGGAGGACCGACGCGGGCTCTGTGTGCCCAGGGTGCACCGGCCTCCGGGTACGGGACAGCAGGCTCCCCCTCCCCTCGCCCCCGACCCCGACGCACGGCCCCCCAGCCTCAGCTCCCAGGCCCCTCAGCTCAGTGGGACACCGGGCACTCCCCTGCCGCCCTCCAGGTGGCCCACCGGTCCTTTCCAGGTGGCATCGGCCCAGAGCCTGGTGGTGGGCTGAGGCAGGGGTGTCCGGTGTGACGTGCTGGGGATTCCGGGAGAGGCAGGGCCCCTGCAAGCTCTGCCCAAACCCCTCGGCACCCGGTCTCCCCGTCGAGCCCTCGCCCCTGCTCCCCCATTCACTCCGTGAGCACTGGGGCGCCCCACTCATCAACCCGAGGCCAGAGTGGGGACAGCCGACCCGAGCTGAGCGGCTTCTGCTGTGAGGGGGCCATGCCGAGGGCTGCGGGGGCGCCTGCGAGCCTGGGCCCGCGGGGGGGGGGGCCTCCTGGAGGAGCAGGCGCGGGCGGGCTTCGAGGCGGCGCGCTGCAGGGCAGGGGCTGTGCGCGGGTGCCCGCTGGGAGCCCCGGCCTGGCCCCCAGAGCCAGCCGCAGGGAGAAGGGCGCCCGGCCCCCAGCGCCTCGCGGACAGCTGTCCTCCCTCCTGGTGGAGGCAGGCGGGACAGAAAGGACCTCTCCCGGCTCCTGAGGGCGTCGCTGCCCTGCGGGGCGTAGACGGTGATGGGGTGCAGTGTTGTGTTGCCCCAGGGCTCTGCGCGCCCCTTTGTTGGCACCGGGTGGGGCAAGGGGCACCCCTGCCCTTCCGCCGGCCTGTGCCCCTTCCCTTAGCACCTCCACCCCGGCCCCGCCCCCACCTCTGGGAATGGTCCTGCTCCCACCGAGCACGCCCCTCAGCCGGTGGCCATGGTGACTCAGGGCGGCCACCGACTGCAGGCTGGTACCCCGTCCTCTGGCCACCGGGACCTGGGAGCAACCCGACGGAGGGGCAAGAGCCTGGGCCTGGGGACAGCTCCAGGATGGCCCCTCCGCCACGCGAGGCCACGGGCGGCTGGCGTTGCCAGAGAAGAGCCAGGCCGCTCCGCCTGATGGCCCCTCGTTGTCCCCAGAGGAGAGCCCGCCCCAGCCCAGACTGGATGACGAGATCGACCTCCTGGCCCAGGAGCTGGCCCGGCAGGAGGCGGCGCGCTGGGAGCTCACGGCCCTGCCGCATCCAGAGGCGCCTCAGCGGCTCCTGGAGGCTGGTGAGGCCCCCGCCCCGCCCCGCGCGCCCATCGTCCCTGCCCATCCCGGGCCTGCGCAGTCACTCGCCTTCTCTCTGCAGCGGCCACCCTGGGGCTCTCGGACCGAGGCCAGGGCCCCGACCTCGGCATCCCCTCCACGCGGGGAGCTCCTGCGCCCACGGCCCTCACCTCCTTGGGTTCTCCTGTGTCGCCTGGGCCGGTGCACATGTCCCCGCTGGAGCCCCGGGGCGGGCGCAGTGACGGCTTCGCCCTCGGTAGGTGCGGGCAGGTGGGGCGCGGGGTCCTGGTGCGGCCGGCGGGGAAGGCCGCCCTCACCGGCTGCCGTCTTGCCCGCAGCGCTCGTCCTGGTGTGCTCCGTGGCCGGCGCCGCGGCCCTCGCCGTGGCCGCGCTCTGCTGGTGCAGGTGAGCCGGGGCGCCGGGTGGGAGGGCCGGCGGGCGGCCGGACCCCGCGGGCCTCAGCCTCCGCTGTGTCCCCCCGCAGGCTGCAGCGGGACATCCGCCTGACCCAGAAGGCCGACTACGCGGCCCCACAGGGGCCCGGCTCCCCCGCGACGCCCAAGATCTCGGTGCGTGTTGCCGCCCCGCCCGGCCCTCGGCCCCAGCCCCTCCTCCGCGGCCTGACCCTCCCTCCCCGCCGCCCGCAGCCCGGGGACCAGCGGCTGGCGCACAGCGCGGAGGTCTACCACTACCAGCACCAGAGGCAGCAGATGCGGTGCCTGGAGCGGTGAGATGCCCCCTCTGGACTGCGCCCCCAGAGCCCCCCGCCCCTCACCCCGGGCCCCCACCCCCATCCCGCCCGTACGAGGTGGCTGAGCGCCGCTTCCAGCCTGGGCCCCCGCACCCGGAGGGTGTGGGAGGACCCGGCCATCCGCCCCCACCAGGCATAAAGAGCCCCCCAAGGAGCTGGACTCAGCCTCCTCGGACGAGGAGAACGAAGACGGCGACTTCACAGTGTACGAGTGCCCGGGCCTGGCCCCGGTGAGTGGGGGCGGGGCGCCGGGCTGACCCCCGCCACCCGGGCGCTGCGCTGCCCGCCCCTGCCGGCCCGCCTGACCCCCGCCCGCCTTCACAGACCGGGGAGATGGAGGTGCGGAACCCGCTGTTCGACCACTGCTCGCTGTCCGCCCCGCTGCCGCCGCCGCCATGAGGCGAAGCGCGGCGCCCACTCCCTGGAGGACCGGCGGGGGCGGGGGCGGGGGGCCGAGGACCTGCGTTTCCCAATAAAGAAACCGTGTTCTGACGTCGGGCCCTCCTTGCGGCCGGGCTGGGGTGCCAGCCGGAAACCCCCCGCGGGGCAGGGCACCGCCTGCTTCCCCTGCACCTGCCCTCCAGAGCCTGCACCCCAGAGGCCGGCAGTGAGAGCCCCACAGGCCGGGGAGGGATGGGGGTACTGGAGGCAGCCAATTAAAGTCCCTCTCAGACCTGGGCCCGCGGGCAGGAGACCCCGCCCCCGCCCCAGCCTTTGGGGCCTGGACGGGGGGGGGGGGGGCAGGGGGGGCCTGAGGCTCTCAGCCCCACGCAGAGAGCAGGCGCCTCTGTGTCCTGCTGTGGGGGGCTTCTGTTTTCCTCGGGCAGGGGACGCCCCCCACCCTCCTCCGTTTCCAGGCCCTCCCCCCACCAGTGCAGCGGCAGATGGGAGGGGGGGTACGGCACAGGGCCAGGCCATGTGGAGTGGGTACCGCTCCCCGAGGGACCCTCACCCACGGAGGCTAGAAAGGCCCGGGCGGTGGGAGGGACAGGGTGCAGCCTCGAGCGCGGCTCCCCCGGCGCCGGCCCGGCCCCTGCAGCACAGTGGTGTGTGGGGCGCGGAGGGGGCTGGGCGCCGGGAACCCTGCGGGTGGGGGCAGGGAGATGGGGCTGCGCGTCCGCTGTTGCTTCATCTGTGCCTTTAGGGGCGATAGATACAGAGAAAACGGGGTGCAGAAGGCCTCACAGGCGAAGGGAGCCTGGCGCCCCGCCGGGTCTGGCCCAGGCCAGCCTGCCCCGCCAGCCAGCCCGGCCGAGCCACGGCCAGGAGGTCCCCGCAGAGCTCTGGGCTCAGCCCCGAGCAACCGGGGCAGAGAGCGGCCACGCGGCGTGCCCTGTCTTCCCTCCTCCGGGGCACGGGCCCATCCCCGGTGTCCCTGCTGCCCGCCCCCCAGGGCCCCGGCAAAGGGCGCACAAGGGTGCTCCCTCCAGAGGCAGCAGCAGTGCCTGGAGGCTGGTGGGCCCGGCCCGGGAAGCGCAGACCGAGGGCCGGTCCCGGGAAGGGAGGCGCCCTCCGCACCCCGCCGCCCGCCCGGCTTTCAGGGCTCCCGCGGACCCCCGGCTCCATCCATCCGACAAGGCCACCCCCGCCTTGTCCGAACCCCCACGGCCCCTGGCACAGGCCCCGGGCGGGCGGGGGGTTAGGGCTCAGGCTCCACAGCAGCTCCGGGGACCCCGGTTCAGGGCAGGTCCGGGCTCTGAGTCCCGCAGCAGCGGCCCTGCCCCCTACGCTAGGTGCGCAGCACAGGGGAGCGGGGTCTTGAGTCTCGGCGCAGACGCGGGGGGCACACCAATGTCAGGCACTGAACACATAGGACCCCAGGGTGACCCCGGCAGATTCCGGCGCTCCTCCCGGGCGGATGAGGACGCGGCGGTGCCCCGGGCCTGGACGGGAAGGAAAGCCCGTGGGAGAGCAGGGTCCGGCACCTGCAGGGCACCCCTGGTCCAGGGGGTCCCGCTCAAGGCAGAGGGACCGCCCCTGCCGCTGCCCACCGACGCTGGCTCCCGCCACCACCCCGGTGTCGCCCCCTGGGCTGCTCCCCACCCTGGGGGTCCCAGGGCCACTCGCCAGCCTCCGTGCACCCACCTTCCCTAAGGGACTCCCTGGACCACACCCCACCCAACCGTCTCGTTGAGAATGAATTGCCCGCTGGCTCCCTCTGCCGCCCTGGCTCCCCTGAGTCAGGTAGCTCCCGAGCAAGGCCGCCAGGGGGCCTCGGGGCGCCTGTGCACCCAGGCCCGCGCAGGCCAGCCCTGGGAGCGGGCAGGCGGGCAGATCGGCTCTGGCACTCTCCCTCCGAGGCACCCTTGGTCGGGGGCTGCGTGGCTTATTGTCTGTGGGGGGCAGTGACCAGGAGCCCAGCCACCTGCCCTCTGCCTGGGCACAGGCGCCCCGGTGTCAGCTCAGCCGGCGCCCACTGGGGGAGGCTGGCCCTGCGGCCAGCCAGGCCCCGCTGCGGAGCGATGGTGTGCTCTCGGTTCTCACGGTTCTCACGGGCTGGAAGCCGGAGCTGGGCACCTGCCTGCGTCCCAGCGGGTCACAAGCCTGGGGGGCAGGTGGCAGGATACGGCCCCCACTTCCCCTTTGACTCAGCTCTCTCACTCCTCTTTCCTCTAAAAGCCTCTCCCTCTGCCCCATTTCTCGGCCAAGCCTCGGAGCCCCATTTCCCAGCCAGCAGGTTCCCATGCCGGGGCCCCACAGCAGGGACCTGGGTGGCAGACCGTGACGGGGAGCCGCAGAGCCCGGCGGACGTGGCGGGCTCTTTCGAATTCACCCAGGAAGGGAGCCGGGTGGGGTGTGTGGAGGCACGTGGCAAAGGTCAGCCGGGCCGTGCACACAGGAAGGGCAGGGGGCTGGCAGCCAGCAGCCGGAGCGTTCTCAGGCTGCCGCGGGATCGGCTCCTTCCTGTGTGCCTGCCGCCCGCGAGGTACCCGCCACCACAGGGAGGTGCTGCGGGCTGATGCAAGGCCGGGGCAGGGTGTGGCTCCCCTGGGGTCCTCCGCCAGGGAAGGGGTGCCAGGCACGGCCGCCAGCCCCGCGCTGCCGCGGTCCTCTCCCTAAGCACCGGGGCGGCTGGAAGGATGGCCCCCCAGCTCTGTCCAGGCCCTGGTGCTGCCCAGCAGGGAGCCGGCCTGACCGCAGTATCAGCCCCTCAGTTCTGCCGCACGGTTTCCAACAGGTCCCGCAGCCCCAGCCCGCCCTCCCGCCTTGGACGTTGCGCAAGGCCCCGCCGCAGCTCTGAGGTTCTGCTGGGGGCGGGGAGCCTCGGAGGGCCCAACAGCCCCTTCGTGGGATTGCCCGAGTCCGCCCCGGGTCGCTGCCAGCTCCGGGTCCCGCCCCGATGCCAGTGGAGGAGCTGGGGGAGGGCGGGCGGGGGACAGGCCGGAGGGGTAACGGCACAGCATGGGGCCACAGTCCCCGCACAGACAGCTCCTGGTCGTTCCTCTTTTTACAACATCTGGCCCCGGCCCCCAGCACCCGCCCAGCCTGAGGCTTCCAGGGCGCTAAGCAGGACGGCCCAGGCCCGCCCGCCACATCCCAGGCCTGGCTGGGGTGCACAGAGCTCCTGGGCACCACCCCAACCGAGAGCGGGGTGCAGGCGGGGCCCAGGGGCGTCCGACCGTGCGGGTCGGCCGCGTCTCCAGCGCAGAGGAACCAGAGCAAAAGGGGAAGGAACTGGACCTGCGGGTTGGGACCCAGGCTGGCCGGGGGTGGGGAGGAGGAGGGCCCTGGACTCTAGCCTTCCTTTTCCCGGCAGAGGCGCCAGCCCCCTGCCCCCCATGCCGGGGACACAAGCACTGCTTCCCCTTCCAGCCTGGAAAGCCCCCTCCCGGCCCCCCCTCATCCTGAGCTGGGCGCCTGGAGGAGGGGAGCGGGAGCCCCCCGGGAAGTCCTCCCACCCGTCAGCCCCGCCAGCAGCAGCTCCATCTGGCTCGTCCAGGGCCCTGGGCCTGCCCCCAGCCTGGGGCTTCTGCGGACGCGGGTCCCGGGGCGGGAAACAAGGCCCTGCAGCCCCCCGGGGCCAGGTCCAGCCTGGCCACAGCCCACGGTGGGCATGTGCCAGGGCCTCGTGGGGACAGACGTTCCCGGGGCCTCAGGACGGGCGCCCCTTGGGCCCAAATTCTGGCACCCAGAGCGAGGGTGGGTGGGGGGGCGGGGGGCAGGGGCCCCCACAAGGAGCAGCAGGGGAAACCTCAGCTGCCTGGCGAAGAGCTGAGCACAGCAGGTCAGCAGGGCGAGGGCCCACAGCCCAGCAGGTAGGGAGCAGGGGAAGTGGGCGGCACCGCGGGCGGGGGCTCGGTGCGGCTCTGCGGGAAGCGTGCCTGCCTCCCTGGGGGCCCCAGGCCTGGGTGTTGGGCAGAGACCGGGTCCTCGGTTTCTGGGCAGTCCTTCAAGTGGGGGGTCGCCTGCCCCCCGGATGGCCTCCCCGCCCCCACCTGCTGTGCCTGCTCAGAGGCCAGCAGCGGTGGGGGGCGAGGATCCGGTCCAGCGGGGGCGCTCCTGGAGCCCCTTCCCCCGCAGCCAGAGGGGGAGGCTGGAGGTTCCTGCCCAAGGCCACCTTCGGGGCGGGGCGGGGCGGGGGCGGGCTGGGAGGTGCCCTGGTTTCCTTCATCCTGGGCAGATGAAAGGAACTCACTTCCAGGTGGGGCCCAGCACAGCCCACAGCTGTGATTTCAGGGCACCTCTGCCTGGTGGCTGCCGTGATTTGAGAACCTGGAGTTTCTCAGGTGACTGACTGGGAGCCGCGAATGAACTATGCCGGTGAGTGCCAGGTTTTCAGGGAGGCCAGGGCTGGGAGGCAGGGCCGCGGGCGAGCTTGGGGAGACAGCCTCTCTTCCTGCGTCCTGCACAGGGTGTGGCTCTGCCCAGAAACTTCTGGCCTTGGGGGGCCTGGCCCGGGGCGGCCCTGCTCACAGCCCTCTGGACCCTGTGGCTGCTCCGACGGGCTCCCGGGGGAGCCCCGGCACCCCAGGGCACTCTCACCATCCTGATCTGGCACTGGCCCTTTGCCAGCCGGCCCCCGGAGCTGCCCAGCAACACCTGCGCCAGCTACGGCGTGGCCCGCTGCCGCCTGAGCACCGACCGCAGCCTGCTGCCCAGCGCCGACGCTGTGGTCTTCCACCACCGGGAGCTGCAGACCCTGCGGGCCCGCCTGCCCCTGGCTGAGCGGCCGCACGGGCAGCCCTGGGTGTGGGCCTCCATGGAGTCGCCCAGCCACACGTACGGTCTCGGCCGTCTCCGAGGCATCTTCAACTGGGTGCTGAGCTACCGGCGCGACTCGGACATCTTCGTGCCCTATGGCCGCCTGGAGCCCCACCCGGGGCCCGAGCCCCCGCTGCCGGCCAAGAACGGGGTGGCCGCCTGGGTGGTCAGCAACTTCCAGGCGCGACAGCGGCGTGTGCAGCTGTACCGGCAGCTGGCGCCCCACCTGCCGGTGGACGTGTTCGGCCGGGCCAACAGGCGGCCGCTGTGCACAGATTGCCTGCTGCCCACCATGGCCCGGTACCGCTTCTACCTGGCCTTCGAGAACTCACAGCACCCGGACTACATCACTGAGAAGTTCTGGCGCAACGCGCTGGCGGCCGGCGCCGTGCCGGTGGTGCTGGGGCCCCCGAGGGCCACCTACGAGACCTTCGTGCCGCCGGACGCCTTCGTGCACGTGGACGACTTCAGCTCGGCCCGCGAGCTGGCTGCCTTCCTCCTGGGCATGAACGACAGCCAATACCGGCGCTACTTCTCCTGGCGAGACCGGCTCCGCGTGCGGCTGTTCAGCGACTGGAGGGAGCGCTTCTGTGCCATTTGCGCCTGCTACCACGACCTGCCCCGCGACCAGGTCTACCAGGACCTCCAGGGCTGGTTCCAGGGCCAGTTCCAGACCTGAGCTCTGGCAGGCAGAGGCAGCAGGGGAGGGTGGCCGGGCGCGGGCAGCATGGGCTGGGTGTTCAGGTCAAACCACTGGACATCTGGCCCCCACAGGCGACCATCGGGCTACTGTGGAGACTTGCAGTCAGAGGCCAGGGTGCGAGGGTGAGGGAAGAGCGGGCCAGTCTAGGCAGACTGCCTGGAGGAGGAGGCTGGTGGGCATTGGAGTGGGCATTTGGGTTAGAGGCAAGAATAGCGCGGGAATTAATGGGGGTGCATGTTCTTGAAGTGGATCAGAGAAGACAGAGGGATCCTTCCCAGCCTTGATCAAATCTTGGGCAGGTCTTAGGCTAAGCCTTGATACAGGGACATGGGGACATGGGGCTGAGACAGGCTGGAGGCAGGGCCCTTGGGCCTGGGGACATGCTGCCCTGTGGTTTGTTGGGGGGGAAGCCTCGCCCCCCAAGCCTCTGCTGCACTAGCTACTCTGACCACAGTTTTGTGTGGGCCCGGGCAAGGTGTGAGCAAGCCAGGCTGCTCTGGGCTTTTTGCAGCCTGCAGTCCCCTCGGGGAGGGGCCATCAATCAATAAAGAAACAAAGACCCAGAATGGCGTGTGTCCAGTCTGGGAGGCATAGGACCCCGCGCAGCCGCTCCATGTAGCTGCCACGCTGGCCGGCCACGCAGCTCTCCGTGACCCCTCCAGGCATCCGGCCGCTGTGCCTGAAGGCCTCTGCACTCCACCTGCCTGAGACGCCACCCCGTGTGGCTGTGTCCACACCCCTCCCTTCGGCACCCCACTAATTAGCCCCGAGTCAGAGATCCTGCCCTGCCCCACAAAAAACCAAGTGGTTGGACAGCAGGGCAAGAGATTGGAACCTGCCGGGGGCCGGAGGGGCCCGTCAGGAGGGCCTTGCGGTTTTGTTCTCAGGCCGGTCTGCTTCGCGACGTGGGGCTCCCTCTGCCAGGTGGCAGGTGGCCGCATGGCCGCGAGAGGCCCCCCGGATGCCGTGGCAGGTGGCTGAGCGAGAGGAGAGGCTGGTGGGAGGCTCAGGGTGCTCACAGGGGCCCCAACAGGTCGAGGCCCTGTGACGGGAGTTCGGGGCTTGTCCCTGCCCTGTGGGGGTGGGGAGGGGGTGGAGGCAGGAAGCCACCGTCCTCAGTGGCAGCGGCTTGTGGGTACGGCCTAAGGCCCCCCCACCCACCCCCTGTGCTGACCAGGAGAAGGAAGTACCCTCAGCTGCGAGGGGGGTGGGCGGGGGGTGGGGGCGCCCGCCCCCTGCCACAGCTGCCCTTCCTCCCACCTCAGGAACGGAGGTGGGATGGGTGGGGAGCTGCAGCCCTGAGGTCTGCCATTCAATTTAGGGTGTGACCTCTCTCTGCACCCCAGACGGGGGCCATCACGTGACCCCCGCTCCCATTCCCAGGCGGAGAAACGGAGGCAGGGGAGGAGGACTCAGGGCCGCGCTCCTGGCCCCCACCCCCCGGGTGCCGGGACCCACCTGCCCTCTGCTGGCCACCTCAGGAATTGACTCGGCCGTCTCCCCAGCCGGCTCAGGGCGCACCTCCGACCCGAGCAGCGGCGAGGAGCCCCCTCCCGCAGGTGCCAAAGCACCTCCGCAGAATTCCCTCGCCCGGGATATGGAGGGGAAATGCGCCGCTTACCGAGGGGACAGCCTGCGTGTCACTCACCGCCCTGCCTGCCCCCGCTGCGCAGGGCCATTCTCGGGCCAGCAGGTCCCTTCCCTTCCTCCGGACAAGCCCAGCCGGGCCCACCCCGCCCCTTAGTCACCATGTGGCTCACTCCCGAGGGACACAGGACATTCTCGAGAGTGCGGAGGATGACAGCCCACCCGCAGCCCCTCTGGGCAGCCCCACCCCCGTTTTAGGGGGCGGGTCTGGAAGCTCTGGGTGGGTGGATGCTGTCTCTTGAGGTCTGGAGGGCAGTGGCCGACCTGCCCAGGTGGCACCTGCAGCCAGGGGGCCGCGGGGTGCCCCCAGCCGGCAGGGACTGGGACCCGGCTCTCCGACGTCCAGGTGAAGTTCCTGCCACCAGAACTGCGAGGAAGGCGGCGGCGGGGATGACCTGGTGGGGGCCGAGCCCCCACCCCCCAACGGCCCCTCAGGGCGCCCTCGGGGGCCAGTAACCACCTCGGGGCGCGCCCGCGGGAGGCTTCCCGCCGGACGGGGTTGCGCGCAGCCGGGCCGCGCTGGAAGGAGAGCGCCCGGGAAGGAGGGGTGAGTCGAGGGTCCGGGTTTACAGGTGGGCGCTTGGGCCTTTTTCAACGCCCGGCGAGCGGGGAAGGCCGGGAAGCCCCCGGCGGAGGGCAGCGCCCAGGAACCGCCTGGGGGGGCGGGCGGGTCCGGCGCAGCAGTACCGGGCCGGGGGCGGAGCGGCGGCCTCCGCGCGGCGCCTTTAAGCGCGGGCGACGCGGGAGGGAGGCTGGCGCGAGTGGCTGTCGCCGCGCCGCCGGGGCGGAGCCAGCGCGGAGCCGGTCCCGGGCGCTGAGGCCCCGCCCCGCGCGGGCGATGCCGAGCGGCGAGGCGGGCGGCCGGGCCGGCGGGGCGCGCAGAGGAGCTGGCCGCGGCGCGGAGGCGGTCGGGGCGCGGCCCCGCCATGGGCTTCCTGCACCAGCTGCAGCTGCTGCTCTGGAAGAACGTGACACTGAAGCGGCGGAGCCCGGTGAGCGACCCCGCGCCGCGGGCCTGCCGGCCGCCGGGGCCGCGCGCACCAGGGCCAGGGGCGCGCACCCCGCGCGCACGTGCGGCGGGCCGGGCGCGCGCAGACCCCAGGCTGGCGTGGGGGTTGGCGCGGGCGGGACGACGGACCACAGTCCCCTTCCAGTCGGGCCCCGCGCGCTCCTGCCCGAGCTCCGGTCTCCGGGGAGGGGGATCTGCCGTGCCCAACCCGCCCCCCCCACCCCGCGCCCGCTGACATTCGCGGTGCTGGGCTGAGTCACGGGCGCCCTCCGCAGCGCGCTCTCTAGGGCCAGCTTCAGAGGTGGGGGGACAGGCGGCCGGGGACCCTGGGGTCACAGGAGGCCCTGGTCCCCAGGACAGAGGGCTGGCCGGCCTGGGGAGCTTGATCCAGCTCCGAGGCTCCGCGGTCTCTGGGCCTAGCCCCTGCAGGGACCCTGCCCCTTCCCTGCCCGCAACAGCCCTCTGCCCTTGGGCAGGCCCTGCCTCTGCTCCTCCCCCCACGTCCACTAGCCCAGGCTGTTGTTACTGCTTTCTCGCCCCCGGGAAGGTCTTTGCTGTGCCAGCCTCAGCTGCCTGAGCCCCTTCACCCTTTTGTCTTTGGGGCAGCCCTCCTGGAGGTCGATCCACTCTCTGACCCCCCTGACCCCGCTGCACTGGGGGCCAGGTCCCGCTGTGGGGAGCTGTGACAGCCGGCTCCCCCACTCTCTGACGGCGCAGGGCACGGCAGCTGTCAGGGTGAAGAGCAGGGCTGGGCCGCGTGGATGTCGTCACGCTGGCCCTCCTGGTCTGGCCCCGGGAAGGGCAGCAGCCCGCGTCCGAGAGGCGCGGGCAGCTTGGGTTTCTGAATGGGCCTTGGGGGTTTTCCAGGACGGGCTCAGGGCAGGCCAGCGACCCGAGTGGGGGCCCCGAGGAGGAGGCCGCGTCTTGCCCCCCCAGGCCCAGGAGGCTCCCGCCCCCGGCCCGGGGACCCTTTGGGTGCCCGCCGTCCCCGCTGGATGTCCTGGGGAAGGGCCTCGCGTGCACAGGGGGCAGCTGGTGCTGCGGGCAGGGCGGGCCGGCCAACAGCGCCCTGGCCTGGCAGGGCTCCCCGGGCACCGGGCCCTGGCGGGGGGCCAGGGTCGGGCACACTGCCTGCCCAGGGCGCCTGGTGCTGGCTGGCGCGGGGTCAGGCCTGCGGCCCCGGCCGCATCTGATGCCGCTTCCCCTGCCTCAGGTTTTGGGTCAACGGGGACAGCAGGGTAGGGCTCAGGAGAAGAAAGGGGATCGGGACGTGGGCACATTTCAGCAGCATCCGCCCCCGCTCCCGTCCTGCAGGACGGGCCCCCCAGGGGCGGGAGCAGAGGCTGGAATGATGGCCCCCGCACCAGCTGGGGACCCCCGGGCCCAGGGGAGGGAGCAGCGGCGGGCAGGGCGCCTGGCGAGCCCGTGGGAGGTGCCCACTGCCCCACACCCAGGGGAGCCTGCACCCGCTAGGCTGCGCCTCCCGCAGCCTTCCCGTGCCCCTGCCCCCGAGGGTCCCAGAAGGAGGTTCCGGGCCTGCGGCCGCCGCTGACAGAGCCCCCGTGGGCTGGTGCTCGGGGCTGGGGCTGGCTGGGTTCAGGGCGTTATCCTGCCGGAGCCCCACTGCCCGGGAGGGTCTCCGGCTGCAGGGTTGGGCCCCTGGGCATGGCCAGCAGAGGTTTTGCCCGCGTGCTGGGTGCCTGGCGGGGCGCCCCGTGGCAAGCTTGGTTGGAGGGCAGGGACCAAGGACCCCAGGCCCCGATGGCTTCCCCTTCCCAAGCTCTGGGCCTCAGTCCCTCCATCTGAGGGCGTGACCCCTCCCCTCTGAGCAGGACACGAGTCGGCCCTGGCACCACAGGCTGCTCCTGGTGGAGGGACTGGGCGACTGTCCCCAAGTCGCTGGGGTGGCACGCAGCAACTCCATGCTCAGGTCACATCTATTCTGCCCTTGACCCAGCAGGGGAGGGCCCGGGCCCAGGCCCAGGGCGGGCGCCCAGGCCCCAGGGACCACACGGGGGCCTGGGCTGGCCTCAGGGACTGGGCTCTGACCCCCTTGCAGGCCCCTGGGTGGGACGCCCAGGGGGGGCTGGACCAGCGCTGCCTGCCTGTAACCAGATGCCCCTGTGGCCTCCCGCCCTCGGCCCGCCCAGCAGGCCTCGCCTCCCAGCAGCTCTGAGCAGCCGTTGCTATGGCGATGAGGAGGCAGAGGCCTGTTGCTGCAGTTAGTTGGTGGAGGTGCCCGGTGGCGGCGGCGTGGGTGGGGCTGGCAGGCGGTGCCCCAGGCCTCCTCCTGAGCGGCTGCTTGCACACAGCCACCCTCGCCCCGTGTGCGTGCAGCGGGTGGAGAGTGCCTGTCCCCAGCTGTGGGCGCCCACCCTGCCTCCTTGGCCGGCCCGGGCTGGATCCCGGCTCGGGAGGGGTGGAGGCTGGCACGGGCTGGGGCGGGTGTTCCAGGCCACAGAGCGCTATTGTCAAAGCGCCGCGAACGCCCGAGCAGCTGCCCCGCCCCGGGGCCAGGGCTTGCACCCGGGCCTGCCAGCGGCCCGCTGGGGCGGGGCCCTGAAGCCTGTTCCTGGTTGGGAGGTGAGAAGGGCCGGCTCAGGGCGCACCCGCAGGCGGGGAGGGGGCTCCCCGAGGGCCGCTGGCCCCAGAGCCGCCCCTCCTCCACCCGCTCTCCCTGAGCTGGGAGCAGTGGAGGTGACACCGTGGAGCCCGTCCACCATCCAGGGGGCACGGGGCCCTGGGGCCCCTGCAGCCCTTTCTCACCCCCAGCGAGGCCCAGCCACGCTCGGCCCGCTGCCCAGGCTTGGGGGGCCGCGGCCGTC